TAAATATGTAAAGTGTGTTGTTCTGGAATAATTTATTCAGTTTCCAAATCCTTTACAATCTTGTTTTCCAAAAACGTTTAAAAGAAAAATATATACATTCTAGAGTAAGTAGTAAAAAAGGTTTTTAAGCTTTAATTACTGTATGTATTCGTTCACGCTATCACAGACAAAGGCCGTGGATGTCTTTCTTTGTTTTGCACTGTTGTTTTCAGAGTTGCGGGTCAAATCCAGGGCTTTAGGTAGAGGAAACTGCCTAGACAATATAGCCAGCTATGGCTGCATCTTTCTACTGTCCATCCTTCAGGACATTCTGAACACTACCATTTAAAACTAACTTTTCTCTTTAAGGGTTCCTGAAATTGTGCCTGCTGTCTCCATGTCCACCCTGACCCCACAGCATAAACCATGCTGTGATGTTACACAGCTACCATAGAACTCCAGGGTAGTGTTGAGCTGGCCCATGTGGGTTCAGGTAAGTCTGGCTTTTTTTTTTACCATTTGGCATTTTTTTCAAAGTTAGTTTCCATTATGATTTTATATCATAAAGGAAAATAAGGCAAAACTTTGAAAACTGTGCCATATATGGGGGAAAAATAAGTCTATTATCTAAACATCTAATGAGCCAGCTCCAGATGCTAACCAATGGAGTTCCATAGTAGCTGTGAAGTCCCCAGTGAGTTTCTGACCTGTGGCTTCAAAATATGTTAAGCTCTACTCTGGCCCAGTTCATATGACAGATTATGTGAGCTTTCCTGCTGCAGCTGCCTCTTAAAAATTTTATTTGCTAGCTAGTAATATGCTATATGCTTTCATTTACTTAAATACTATATAATTTCAGAAGTATGTTAACATTTTCTTTACCTCTAATTGCCTGTAGTTAGCTAATTTTGAATGTATGATAGTCCTTGTGGGTCAGTTTTAGGTTGCTGGTTGGTTTGGAGTTAGTTTCAGAATGCTTCCACTTGTCTTTATTTGCCTTTATAATAATTCAAAGGAGGAGGGGGGAACAGAACACACAATGTAAATTTGTTAAAGAATACTAAGGCACTTCAGTTACATTTGGAGACATTGTTAGTAGTCACAAGCCTAAAGAGCAGGTATAGATCATACTTGTCTCTTCTGTTAGAATGGATCAATTCCCCCACCCCTAGTCTCTGTTCTATAAAGTAAGGTTTTAACACTTAACATTATTTGCTGCCTTTTCCTGCTTTCTTGTGCTTCTGTTTTTTTTTCTACTTTTAGATGTTAGAAGTTGCTAAAAATGCAAAGAGCTTGGGAACATCTTTGTTATTGTAATAACAACCAAAAAATTTGGTGGCTAAAGTTTAATTATATGACACAAGCCAGGTTTTTTAAGTATCAAATCTATAGTGAAAACTCATGTGAAGAAACTCTAAACTTGATCAGTAGCTCTTTTTGATTACTATGTGGTAAAATTTAACAAAACTTAGACAGTTTCATGATGCTCTCATGACTTTAATCTAATTTACCAGTTATTGAAGCTGTGAGTTCTTATGGTTAATGAACACAATATATATATTTCCAAAGTATTAGACAGCAGTGTTATTAAAAAGAAGTATTTTGTTCATGTATGTGTCAGTTGTATGCTGGGGAAATATGGAGTCTTAATTCTTTTCCCTCCTCCATCTGGCCCCAATCTGTTTTGGGGAGCAACAGCATAGTGCTGCTTGAGTTTAACAAAGACTGGGAGGGGGAGAGTTCATTCAGTATTCTTAATGTTCAAATCTAATGGAAATTCTGACTTGTTTTATGTATGTGATTCAGCTTTCTGAGGTATGATACATATAACATGGAGTGTTCAGCATTTGAGGTTCTGCATACTTTGAAGACAGGCAGGCAGCAGTGTCATTTGTAGTCCCAGGTGTGGTTTGCCCAGATCACTGTGATGGTTGGTTTCATGTCCCCACCCCATGTGCCAGTGCTAATTTCAGACATTGTCAGAAACATTAGTGAGGAAATGAATTCTTACAAACTTCTAAGATGTCAGCTCTACAGGGATTTAGCTGAAGAGTAAAGGCAGTGATTTAGAGAATCTGTTTCTTCCAAATCAAAGAAAGAAGTCACTTGAACACAGCAATTTCATACTGCCTGTACATTTGTACATGTATGCACAAATCTTCCTCTTTGTCCATTCAGGTAAATTGATCAAGTTCTTGGGTTACTTTAAGAACTTGGAGAATTTTATGTAATGTGTATTTTATAAATAGTTAATATTTTTAGGTTTTAACCCAAAACTTTGTAAAAGGTGCGGAGATACAGTGTTGTTTTTCTTCTGGAGTTGGGGATTAAACTCAGTGCCTTTTGATTGCTAGATATGTGCTCTATCACTGAATTAACTCCAGCCCTAGTTTTGGCTCTGCTAGGACTGAAGAGGAAAACAGTTGTCTTTGTAAAGAAACACTGTAGCGGCAAGTGTGGTGGTACATGTCTGCAATCCCATCATTTGGGAGACTGAGGTAGGGGAATTGTTTCAAGTTTGAGGTCATTCTTTGATACATAGCGAGTTCTAGACTTGGGCTGCATTGTGAGGCCCTAGCAAACAAAACACCTACAGAAATAAAAGGAGATGGAGTTGAGCATACCCATAATTAGATATAGAAAACTGTTTAATGATGATGTTAATAAGTTGCACTACTTATGTCTGTCCTTGAGCTTTGTGCTTTGGGAAGATGTTACGTTGTTTCATGTTAACTCTTCTATAGTATGGTTCTAGTGACTTCAAGGGCACTTTTCTTCACAAGGATGTTTTAAAGCCTTAATGCTTAAAGTGGATTAGGGTTGATTTGTAGTTGAGATATGTGGCAAGCAATGTATTGACACAAAATACAAACTAAAATTTCTGTAAGAAGACGTTTTTAGTTAATAATACCAGGGTTACAATTGATTTTGTTTTTATGGTAATGGGATTGAACCTAGGTCTTCATACATGCTAGGCAAAAAGGGTCTACCATGGAGCAAGCTCTACTCACAGCCCCAACATAATGGGCTCTTATTTATTTATTTTTGAGTTGGAAAGTTGCACTGTTGTTACTTAGGCTCTTGTCAAGCTCTTAGGCCCTCAGGATTCTCCTGTCTAAGACACCTAAGAACTGGGACTATACAATTCACACAGTATCATGTCTACTCTCTCATGAGTCTTTAACCTAAGAAATTTGTATGTACATGTTGGGGTGTGGGTGGGATTTAAAATTGCAGAAAAGATCCATGACTCTTAGAGTTTGAAAACTTTTAAAGTTGACCTTCATTCCTCAAAGATGTGATTTAAAAGTATTTGGGGGGAACATAGGTATCATCTATTTACTGTCTTTTTTGTTCACATTGCTTTAGCAGAGTACTCAGCACACAACAAACATTTCAGTGAGTGTGGGAATTAAATGGTTAACTTTAAGATTGTTTTTTTAATAAAAAGAGGACTGTTTTATTATACCAGGTATAAGGAGTGACTTTTTTTCAATTCCTAATTCAAAATGGCAGTTAAAATGCCTTTTAAAAATACATTAATATTTTTAGTTAATCTTAGTATTTTACTCAGAAGGTAATTTTTTCTGATATACTTAGGAAATACTGAAAAGTAGTTGGTCTGGTAATTTGTTTTACTGTATTTATTAGGAGCTAATGTGCACTCTCATCCCCTCCCCCTGAACTTTTTATTATCCATATTGTAAGTAATTACTGTTTTAACATTAATTTGTGCTAAGGTTAATAAAATGATTTAATGGGGGGCTGGCTCAGCAGTTAAGAACACTAACTGTTCTTCCAAAGGATCCGGGTTTAATTCCCAGCACCTATATGGCAGCTAACAACTGTCTGTTACTACAAGTCTGGTATCCTCACACAGACATACGTGCCTGAAAAACACCAATGCAAATAAGATAAAAGATGTTTCCAGATGAAATTTTGGGGCTGGAGAGATGGCTCAAAGATTAAGAGCACTGACCACTCTTCTAGAGGTCCTGAGTTCAATTCCCAGCAACCACATGGTGGCTCACAGCCATCTATAATGAAATTTGTTGCCCTCTTCTGGCCTGCAGGAGACAGAATGTTGTATGCATAATAAATAAACCTTTTTAAAAAAATGATTTAATGGGAATGGAAGGTTTGTGGCCTTGAAAAAAGTGTTATTTCATGTTCCTGCTCCTGTTTTGTTTGCTTCAATTTAGCATATTTAAAGTTGCGTAGTGTAAGTTTTATTTTTAACAGTTATTATTCTTCCCTTTCTCTCACTGTATAGATCAGGCTGGCCTTACAGACATCTGGCTGCCTCTGCCTCCTAAGTGCTGGGATTAAAGATGTACACCACCTGCTTTCTTTAGCAACACTGGCTCTCTAACGCAGGCTAGCCTGGAATTCACTGTGTAGCCCAGGCTTGTCATGAACATACTGCCCTCCTACCTTTAACTGCCTGCCGGGTGGAGTGCTTAACTGACACATTCAGCTATTTATGAATGATTTGCAGTGTATATAAGGAAGTCTTGACTGGGAGATTCTGACTTTAATATGCTGTCAGTTTTTACTTAAAATGAAAGTTATTTCTGAGCTACACAGCACTGCGGATAGTGTGAATGTTTGTTTTATTCTACTTTAAAAATGCAGAGTAAAGGACCAGCTGGAAACATATGTGTATTTCTTTGGGTTTTGCTCTCAGGATGAATTCAAGACAGTAATAGCTCGTTTCTTCTTTCTGCAAAGTCTTGTTTCTCAAACTAGGTCATCTTTTAGTTCTTTGAAGCCTGCCAGAGTATGGAGCCTAGCCATGTGGTGAGGTAAGTGCCAAACTAGGCAGTTCTAGTTCTGGAAAGAAAATTTAAAATGGTAGGAATATACTAATTTTCCTTATTTTCTTTAGGACATATAAATGATGTCCAGGATCCAAGAAGTACAAAGGAATGCTTAAAGAGTTTAGCATGGTTGCTTCATCTATATATGCCTTTTGAAGAAAAATAGATTTAAGTGCTTTTCTATCTTGATGCTTGTTTTAGGAGTTGTGGAAGGTGATTTAGCAGCCATAGAATCATACAAGTCATCAGGAGGAGACATTGCACGCCAGCTCACTGCAGATGAAGTACGCTTGCTGAACCGCCCTTCTGCTTTTGATGTTGGCTATACTCTGGTACACTTGGCCATACGCTTTCAGAGGCAGGACATGCTAGCAATATTGCTCACAGAGGTAAGTGTGGCATTTTGGTTATTGAACCCAGGGCTTGAATGTGTTTCCATTGAACTGTTACTAGCTTTAATGTCACATCCTATTGGAACTGGAGTTACAGTTGATTCTAGGAACGAAGTCTGCAAGAGCTGCCAGTGTTCTTAACTACAGAACCATCTCATGCCCTAGCCCTTCAGTTGTACTTTAAAGGGCACTCCTTTTCTGGTGTGGTGGGTGCTTGTTTTGTTTTGTTTGTTTGTTTGTTTGTTTGAGACAGGGTCTGGTTAACCCAGAATGATTGTTGTAGGTAGCCAAGGATATCCTTGAACTCCTAATCTTCTGTCTAACTCCCAATTGTAGGCCCATCTTACCATTCACACACACACACACACACACTTACTTACTTTTCTTTTTCTTTCTAGAAAGGGTTTGTTTGTGTAACAGCTCTGGCTGTCCTGGAACTTGCTTTGTAGACCAGACTGGCCTGAAACTTCAAGAGATATGCCTGCCTCTGCCTCCCGAGTGCTGGGAGGCACATGCCACCATCACCCAGCTCTTTCCCTTTTGTGATAAGGTATTACTGTGTTGGCTAGACTGGCCATGATCTCTATACATACATCATCTATCTTTGAAATGCATATGCATATAATTTCCTGAGTTGATGAAGCAACTGATGTGCACCACTGCCCCCTCCACCCCCATGCGCTTGCAATATAGCCTTTTGATGCAGGATTTATCTTTTATTTGTTTATTTAACTAAGAAATATTTATTTAGTGCCTAAGCCATGTGCCTACTTCCGTGGCTGAGGAGGATAGAATTTTAAGAATGCTGACTATTGAGTTTCTAGAGAAGTAGAGAAATGAATGGGTATTCCTAGGTAGTGTGAGTAAATGACCATTTGAGTACTTAGGAAAGAGCTTGGGAGGTATCTTCCCTTCTTGCTTAGTAGCTTACATTTCATCAAGCTTCCCTGTCCCCCTGCTCCTCATCCTTCTGCCCATCACAGGATTGCAAGTATCCCAGGCTAGTTTGTAACTTGCTGTGAAACTGAGGATAACCTTGAATTTCTAACCCTTCCTCCACCTCCTGAGCACTGGGATTATAGGTTTGCATGGCCTGTCACACTGGGTTTATGCTGTGCTAGGGATAATCCTTGTGCATGAAAGGCAGGCAGTCTGCCCACAGAGCTATATCCCAAATCCCATTTCATCAGATTTTTGGAGGAGGGATAGAAGTTAGCATGCAAATGAAGTGAGCAAGCATGGTGGAAAATTGAGTTAAGTAAACTGTTTATGAAGGTATAAGGGATCATGTCCCTAGGAATATGATCCCTGGGAATTTTATTTGCACAAGAGATGCTTCTCCTTCTCCTTCTCCTCCTTCTCCACCTCCACCTCCTTCTCCTTCTCCATGATAAGAGAACTATAATGAAAGTACAGAAAGTCAGATAATTGTGATTGTTATTATACATCTTCTGGTTATACTTTATATAAGTGTATAAATTGACAATTCAAGTTTGCCAGTATCTGGGAATCATTATGTACATATATTGTATGGGAAGTGAAAATATGCAAGATAAATGAAAATTTGATTTTATTGACACCCATTATGTTTACTTTAGCAAGATTCTGGTGACATCATGGGAAGACGTTGGGTAGATTCAGGGAAGGGAAGCTTATCATTGGGGAGGGTAGAAAGGTAGGGTTTGAATTTCACATAAGAGGGTATGTCTGTAGAAAAAAGCACAAAATCAAGTTCTTTTGGAATGAGAAGAGAATGTTGATTGTAGGATATGTATCTGGGGCAAAGATTTTCACTTGAGTTTTGTTGTATAATGGATTTTGTAGATAGGCAGTACTTATGAACTCCTGGAAAAATGGCTTTTTAATGAAGAAAAAAAAAGAAATAACAATGGAAATCTAGTTATTGAAATATAGCTATCAGAATAGTTAACCAAATTTGTGACTTTTAAGAGTGCGTGTGTGTTGGCCAGGTGGTGGTGACACACACCTTTAACCCCAGTACTCGGGTAGCAGAGGCAGGTGGATCTCTGTCAGTACGAGGTCAGCCTGATCTATAGCGAGAGGTGTTACACAGAGAAACCCTATCTCAGAGAGAAAGGAAGAGAGGGTGAGGAGGAGAAAGGAAGAGAATGCATGTGCTTGAGTAGCTGATGCTGGCTTACAATTTACAATCCTCCATTTCCTGAATGCTGAAAATTAGAGACAGCATGCTATCATGTTCATTGCAAGAAAATGTCTTACAGTTTAGACCATTAGCTAAGGTAAATGAAAGATTTTTATGTATTAAAAGTAAACTCCGTGGATCTTTCTGTACTTGTGATTCCAAGTTAAGTACAACTGGCCTAAGGAGAATGGTTTGAGGTTTGAGAATGGTGGTGAAGGTAATGTTTCATGTTTCTCTTGAAATGTAGTCAAACTTCATTCCATTTGTTAAAAAGAGATTTATGGCTATTCATGTTAGCAGTGTTCTCTGACATTGTAATTTAAAAAATACCTGATAATTAATTGGTTGCTGATTTTCAGTTATTTGAACTTTTGAGTTTCTGGGTTCATGGAGCTAGAATGTAGTGAAAATTTTCAGTTACTGGCAGTCAGTGAAATCAATGATAAGATCAAAATAAGGAGTCCTGTAGCTGTGTTAATTCTACTGAGCTAAGAACTCTGGCTCCTTACTTTAACAGCAGTAATGGCATAAATGACATTGTTATCAAAACACCATTTCAGTAGATTTCTGTAATACATGCTGCTCCAGGTCCCATTTATATTGTAGGAAGTGGACTTGTAGTAAGGTGATAGCTAGCTTGTTGTTACCAGATTTCTAACAGCAGAGAACAAAGCTGATTGGCTCACTCATTGTCCACTTCCAAGCAGATATCCTTTCTGTGATTTGGTTTCCATAGAAGTGGTTTTTTTGGGGGGTGGGGGTGGGGTGAGGGTGTTGCTTGAGATGTAGTCCAGGCTGACCTCTTACTCCTGATCTTCCCACCTTTGACTTTCTAGTGATTATGAATACAAGTATGCACTGCCAATCCCTGTTCCTCACATTAAATACAATTGGAATGCTAGCTGGGGTCTGTACTATTTGTAATAACTTCTTTGAACCATTGTCCAAATGTCTAGTGGCAAGGAAATAATACCTAGTACATTTAAAATTAAAAAAAAAAAAAAAAAAAGAATTAGGGGGAAATTTTGCTAATTTAAGTGCTGTTGTGTTTTGTTTCTATTAATGATAAATAAGATACAGAAGGGAGTTTCTTTCTGTATTTAAGGTGTCTCAACAAGCAGCAAAATGTATTCCAGCAATGGTGTGTCCTGAACTGACAGAACAAATCCGGAGAGAAATAGCTGCTTCTCTTCACCAGAGAAAGGGAGATTTTGCTTGCTATTTTCTGACTGACCTTGTAACATTTACATTGCCAGCAGGTAACCCAAAAATTTATTTTGAAAAGCAATCTCTATTTTCTTACAGTTTTTTTTTTAATAGAGGTAAAAATAAGTTTCTGTAAGAAAGCAAGTAAGTTGGGATTTTTAACATTTTTATGTTTGTATGTATGAGTGTTTTGCCTGCATGTGTATATGGCACCAGTGGAGGCCAGAAGAGGGTTATCAGATCCCTGGAACTGGAAGAGACAATGGTGAGCTGCCATATGGATGCAATAACTGCTGAGCCATCTCACTATCCCCATAGGTTAGGACTTTAGATTTGACTGTTCTGTTTATGCCTGAAGTCATTTATGCAAGAAATATTTGTAAACAAATACTTTGGTGATTAGAAGACAGTAAATGATATTTTTTGTTGTTGTTGGCCTTAGTTTTATTTGAAGACAGGTTTTCACTCTATAGTTCAGGTTATCTAGAACTGCATGGATCTCTTGTTTCATCCACATGAGTGCTGGGATTATAGGTGCGAAGCCACCGTATTCTATTCCTTAGGTGTTCTTTTTGAGACAGGATCACATTGTATAGTTTTGGATGGTCCTTAAACTTGCTATGTAGACCAGGCTAGCTTCAAACTAACAGAGATCTCCTTCTTGAGTGCTGGGATTAAAGGAATGTGCCACCATACCTGGAGTATTATAAGTAAATATATATATGATATACATATATATGCATATATATTATCCGTTCATTTCCCCTTCTTATTTTAGAATATCCTTTTTTAAGTATTTTTAATTTTTCCCTTTATTTTCAAGTCTTGTCTGTTTTGAAACTATATACCCATTGGCTACTACTAAAAGTTGGGATTAGGATATAAGTTTTTAATGGGTTAGGTTATCTGAATTAAAAAGAATGATACCTTTGATCATGTCACCGTTTTTCATTCATTAATTTCTGCTCTATTTATGAAACATTTGTTAATGTTTTATTCTCTCGTATTTGAAAATGTCTAGAGATTGTCTTTTGTGAATTGATATTGAATAAATATACCAAAGAACATTTTTTTTTTAAAAGTAAATGTTCTATCAGTTACCTGAGTATTTTCAATCTTTTGTAGTCAAATGTGTTTACACATGGAAAGGGTTAATAATGAAATTTTTTTTAAAAAATTTGTTTTTTATTTTGTTGTTTGAGACAACAGTGTAACTCTGGCTGTCCTGAAACTTGATCTGTAGATCAGACTGGCCTTGAACTCACAGATACTCTCTTGGCTCTGCCTCCTGAGCGCTGGGATTAAGGGTGTGTGCTACCCTGCTTGGCTAATGGAGTCTTTTAAAGTCAGTATATTTCACGTAAACATCTCAAAATGTTAACTTGAAAACCATAATTGTATTTATTTATTGTGTGCATGCATATTAATCATGCATGTTATTGAGGTTAGATCACTGCTTACCTAAATTTCTTCTTTCCTTACATCATGTTGGTCTTGGGAATCTGAAGGTAATAAAAACTTGGTGGCAAGTGACTTTTCCTGCTGAGTCATCTTGCCAAACCATACAATTTTTTTTTTTAGAATTGAAAAAAATGCCATTAAAAATTAAGATATTAAAAACACAAAGCACTTTAAAATTAAAATATATATTTTTAGATTTAAGAATTTTAATGTATATGTATTAATGTTTTGCCCATGTGTGTACATGTGCACCAAGTGTGTGCTTGGTGCCCTCAGAGGTCAGAAGGAGGGCATCAGTTTCTCTGGAATTGGAGTTAAGGATGGTTATAATCCATCATGTAGGTTCTGGGAATTGAACCTGGGGTCCTCTGCAAGAGCAGCCATTTCTCTTAACCACTGACTTGGCGGGGGAGGCTTTTAAGGGTAATGCTTTTTATTACACTAGACTGTTCTATTAAGTAACCTGAATACAGAATGCTTGAAGGTTACAAAAACATTGTGTGTCAAAATGCATGGTTCATTAACTTTTATGAGAAAATTCCTGAGTTTAAAAATAACAGGTTTAATAACAGATGGTGGTGCACACCTTTAATCCCAGTATTTGGGAGGCAGAGGCCAGTGGATCTCTGAGTTCCAAGCCAGACTGGTCTATAGAGCAAGTTCCAAGACAGTTGGGGTACACAGAGAAAAACCGTGTGTGTCTGTGTGTGTGTGTGTGTGTGTGTGTGTGTGTGTGTGTGTGTCAGAAAGAGAAAGAGAGAGAGAAAGAGACAGACACACACATACACACAGGACTAAAGACAGTTGGGGTACACAAAGAAACTGTGTGTGTGTGTGTGTGTGTGTGTGAGAGAGAGAGAGAGAGAGAGGAGAGAGAGACAGACATGGGACTAAAACCAACCCAACAAACAAATTTTAAAAACAAAACAGGTTTATGCAGAGACAGCCCATATGAAGAGAAAGAACAAATGAAAATCTCTAAGTATTTGTTTACATCTTATTTTTTATATTAACTTTAAGAATTTTAGTAATGAAACTCAAAAAGGATTTCTATACATAGCCAGGTTACATATGGCATTAAACATAAATATCTGACAACATCAATAGCACGGGGGCATTTTTATTATAAACTGGCATTTATTTATTAAGTTATTAAACAGGAGAACTTCTTTTAAGCCTGGTTTTTCTGTGCAGATATTGAAGATTTGCCTCCAACAGTTCAAGAAAAATTATTTGATGAGGTACTTGACAGAGATGTTCAGAAAGGTAAGTAGATGATGAATGATGTAATTTCCTTTTTATCTAATCATTTAACTGTTTTGTTTTTTATCTTATTTTTTTAAAAAGATGTATTTGTTATGTATACAGTGTACTGCTTGCATGCATGCCAGAAGAGGGCACCATATCTCTTCATAGATGGTAGTGAGCCACTATGTGGTAGCTGGAAATTGAACTCAGGACCTCAGCCAGTGCTCTTAACCTCTGACCCATTTCTCTTGTTTCAGTTTTTATTATGTAGGAAGTGGTTCACAATGTAATTGTCTTGCCTTTTAAATTAAAAAATGTAAAGTCCTTAAGAGCAGTATCATAGTTGTCTCATATGCAAGGCCCTGGATTTTGCAAAACAAAAAAAGACATCCACAGCCTTTGTCTGTGATAGCATGAACAAATGCATATATTAATTAAAGCTTAAAAACCTTGGTTTTCGACGGGCGGTGGTGGTGCACGTCTTTAATCACAGCATTCAGGAGGCAGAGAGGCAGGTGGATCTTTGTGAGTTTGAGGCCAGCCTGGTCTATAGAGTGAGTTCTAGGACAGCTTCCATAGCTACAGAGATACCCTGTTTTGGAAAACAAAAACAAAAATCAAAACCTTGGTTTTCTATTACTTATTCTAGAATGTATATATTTCTCTTTTAAACATTTTTGGAAAACAAGATTGTAAAGAATTTGGAAGTTAAATAAATTATTCCAGAACCACCGTATGTTTTACATATTTAGAAAGTTTACATTAATAAATTAACTATAAGCCAGGCAGTGGTGGTGCATGCCTTTAATCCCAGCACCTGAGAGACAGAGGCAGATGAATTTCTGTGAGTTCAAGACCAGCTTGGTCTACAGAGTGAGTTCCTGGACACCCAGGACTACAGAGAGAAACCCTGTCTTGAAAAACCAAAAATAAATAAATAAAATATAAAACGTTCTTATGTAGATCATATTTTCAGTCCATTAAATACTTTATAATTGTGTAGGCATACAAATGAATGTATTATTTAAATTCCTTTTAGAGCTAGAGGAAGAATCTCCAATTATAAACTGGTCCTTGGAGTTGGCTACACGTTTGGACAGTCGACTGTATGCACTTTGGAACCGGACTGCTGGAGATTGTTTACTTGACTCAGTACTACAAGCTACTTGGGGCATTTATGACAAAGACTCGGTGCTTCGGAAAGCCTTGCATGACAGCCTGCATGACTGTTCACATTGGTGAGCTGGAACCTTTTCCTGTTTCAGTTTAGAACTGCACTGGTTGGATCATTTCCTTATAATAGTGGGTTACTTTTCTGCGCATACATCATTTTTTATGTGTATAGGCATTTTTCTAGCCTCTGTTTCTGCACTATGTATGTGTCTGGTACCCAAGGAAGCCAGACTATTGGATCCTTTGGAACTGAAGTGACAGACAGTTTGAGCTGTCATGTGTGTGCTAGGAATTGAACCCAGGTCATCTGAAAGAGCAGCAAGTATTTGACTTTTAACTATTGAACCATCTCAGCCAGCACTAGTTGTACTCACCTTTAATCTCAGCACTTGGGAGGCAGAGGCAGGTGGATCTCTGAGTTCAGGGATAGCTTGGCCTACATAGTGAGTTCCAGGACAGCCAGGGCTACATAGAAAAACCCTGTCTCAAAAATAAACGAACAAACAAACCCAACCATCCAAAAAACTGTTGAGCCATCTCTCTAACCTATTTTACATAAAACATTTTAAGAGCTGTATTTTTAATGAGGGGGTGGAGAGGAGAGAGGGAGAAAGAGAGAGGGGCGGGAGGGGAAAAAGAGTATATGTATATGTGTGTGTGCCTATACTGTGGGAATGATTGGTTTGCTTTTTGTGATGGCAGCTTTGTTTGTTTGTTTATGTTTCTTATTTTTTAAAAAATGTTTATTATGTATTCAATGTTCTGTCCGCACATATGACTGCAGGGCCAGAAGAGGGCACCAGATCTCATTACAGATGGTTGTGAGCCACCATGTGGTTGCTGGGAATTGAATTCAGAACCTCCAAAACAGCAGCCAATGCTCTTTACTGCTGAGCCATCTCTCCAGCCCTTATTTACTTTTCTTTATATGTCTGCCTTGTAAGTTAAATGTGATTGCTCTGTAAGAAATTTAGTTTCTTAGCTGGAAAGCCAGATCCAAACTGTGGATTACAAAATATGCTTTGAAAAGCAGCCTGAATCGGGCATACTGGTATACCTGTAACCCCATTATGTTGGATGGAAGTGGCAGGAAGACTGAATTCAAGGCCACCTTTCAGCTATGTATGAAGACCCAGTCTCACAAATTTTTGCTTCATACAGAACCAAACACATCACCCAAGGCAGCTTGGGAATTTTCCTTTGGTAATAACTGACTGGAAATAAATTGAATTTAGTAGTAGATTTACCCCTTTGCCTAATAGCTTTTTTTTTTTACTCTTTAATTTTTAAAAGATATTTTTTGTTAATAATTGTAGTTTGGGGCTTATTCTGCCCATTTCTTAAAAGTGGTCATAAGTGATTTTATGATATTTATATTTGAACTGGACTGAGTCATTTGAGGTTATTAGTGTCTAGTACAAGGGTGGGAAGAGGTACACATAAATGAGCCAGGTAGAGGCATTTCATTAGAGTAAGACAGCATGAGACGCTTAGAACATTGTGTCATCGCAGCAGAACTTTGAAGTAGTCTTGATTCCAATGGATGTTTCAGTCTGGAGCTGTTAATTTTGAACAGGACTCCTGATATAAAGTATGCCTTGTTGCCATCTTCTGGAATCTTTGCCATTAGATACCTTTGCTTGGTGTTTTAGTTGAAAGCTGAGTTGAAAGCTCAGATCCTAGAGATCTTCTACTATTTTGGGAATAGGTCCCAGATAAAGATTATAATGGAAGAGATGAAGTGTTACTGTTCTTGATTTGGTATTCAATGACTCGTTTGCTCATCAAACTCAGCACATGACTTGCATGGCAGAGTAAGATCGGACAACTTGGGTCCTGATCTTGGCCAGGAGAGGAAGGGCCAACATACTACTTGTATAACTCCTTCTTTAAAGCTGCTCTTTACAGAGTTGCTAATTTGCATAGTCCAAATCAGCTGGGGAAGATTGTCTTCAGTCTTGTAATCCCTAGTTTAGATCTGAGAAAACAGTACTCTATTATGTGAACTTGTATCACTTTTGGTTAGACTGTTTTTATGTCTTCATTTGTTTGTAGCCATGCAGTTCTGTTGGATACCTGTGATCTGAGCTGCCTGATGTTCTCAAAACATAATAGATAGCATTGTCCTTGGTTTTGTCTTACTTTCCTTCCCTCTAACTTTGATCAGATAACCCAATATTGTGTGACTGACTTTTCTTGTAGAGACAGCACCCATTTACTAGCCCACAACCAACCAAAGTAAAGTCCAGATTGATGAACCAATGAGTTTTGTGTTTCCTTATAGGAATATGGATGAGAGATTACTTATAGGACCAGAAAGGACCAAAGCCCAGGCTAAGTTGGGTGGCAGCTTATGAAAATGAAACTTGGACTACACTGAACAGCCTGTAGGCAGCTCAAAAGATCCTTTCCAGGTGGTTCAGGTGATCTGAGCCTCTCACAGCCATTTGCCTAGTCTATGCTTCTTTACAGGCAACTGGGCTTATCTTAGTCTTCTCTTAGCAATTTTCACTCTTTATATACTCTTGGGAGAGAGGGCCTAATGAATCCAGTCAGTTTCAGGGACTTCCTGAAGCTATTTTGAGTTAACTGCTCATCTTAACATCTTTATGTAGTATTTCACCTCTCCTTAGAACAGTCTGTTGTTTCACCTCCCTGTAAACATCTGGTTTTAAATTTCCCTCCAAGATGAAAGATTGTTCATCACAGAGGAAAGTGCTGCACAACACCTGGACAAGAACAGTTTAAAGAGTTTATTTGGCCCATAATTCCAGATTAAAGTCCATCACTGTAGGAAAGTCTGGGTGGCATGAACTTGAAGCAGTAGGTCACATTATTTATGGTCAAGAGCAGAGAGCAGTCAGTCAGTGCACGCACACTAGTGCTGAGCTCTTTGTGCACTCTGTACAACCCTCCTATCTTGCCCAAGGAATGGTCATGCCAACCCAATTAACATAATCAATGTCATTCCATATAGACCAGCCTTGAGGATCCCTCACTGAGTGAGACTCCCTTTCCCAGGTAATTCTAGAATGTGTCTAATTGGCAATGAAAACAATTATTTCATTGAAATATCTAACCACTTTCTCAGAGGAACAACAGGTAGGAGTAATTGGTCAATAAGGGGAAAAATTACAGATCTTTTAGTCATTACTATTTATTTTTTAGTCATTTTGAGTTAACTACAGTTTTCAGTGTAAACTGCTACAAATGTTGTTGGAAATATAGATAAATATGTGGCTCTGCCCTCTCTGGATACATATAGTTAGTACTGGGAAGCCATGAATATTACAATCAAAATACTAAAAAGCAAGACTAAAATGTCTAGAAATTCCAAGGCTGAATTTGTAATATATTTTCTAAAACAGTAACTTTATTGAAGTACTATCTACCTTCAAAAATGTTTAAAACATAATTTTCACTGCTTATTATTTATATATGTAACACCCACCACTGTAACAGAGTTATAGAGCATTTATCACCTTGAAAGAGAACTCATTTGTCTGTTTTAGTTCCTTCTGCTTCTCAAGCCCCAGCTTCAGGGGATTATTAACTTACTTTCTGTATGTGTACATTTTTCTTTCCTGGATATTTCATATAAATGGAATCTCAAAGTATGTAGTTTATGACTGAAGCATATTCCATAGTATAGACAAATATTTTTATTTACCTGTTTGACAGGAAATTAGGTTGTTTTCAGTTGTCTTTTACAGATAGTTCTGCTGTGACATGTACAAGCTTCTATGGAACAATATGTTTTTGTCTCTTTGTGTAGGTACCGAGAAATGAAATTGTTGGGTCATTTAGTAAATGTATATTTTAACATCTTAAGAAATGGCCAAGCTATATTTCCCAGGGTCTGGACCTTTTTAAATTTCTGTCAAAACACACACACACACACACACACACACACACACACACACACACACACACACACACACACAATAAAAAGTCCATTTTTTTTCATGTCCTCACCAATACTTGTTATGGTTCTGAGTATAGTCATTCTCATGCATGTGAAGTTCCATGATTTGTGAACTTACTTGATTTGTATTTTGTGGTTAATGGTTCTGAATTTTTTTTTTCATGTACTTTTTGTTCATAAATCTTCTTCGGTGAAATATCTGATTTCCCTGCTTTTTCTAATGCCTCGATGTTTAAAACGGTGCTCAAATCAAGGCTTTAAACATGCTAAGCAAGCATCTACTACTAAGCTAGGCCCCAGCATTCTTTGTGTTCAGCCTTTAAGAGTTGTGTTTTCTCTTGTAGATATTCTTTATATATTAAGTCCCTCATTAGGCACATGATCTGTGAATGTTTTCTTCCCTGTGGCTTTCATATCTTTGAGGAACAAAAGTCATTATTTTTTAGATGTAAATTTATTTTATTATTTTCTGTGTATGGGTGTTTTCCCTGCATGTATGTCTGTACCACATGCATGCAGTGCTCTTGGAGGCCATAAGAGGGTGTCAGATTCACCTGGGACTGGAATTAAAGGTGGTTATGATGGGGTGCTGAGGATCACACTTGCATCTTCTGGAAGAGCAGCCACTGCTCTTAACCATTTAGCCCACTCTAGCCCTAAAATCATTGTTTTCATAAGCCTTGTTTGTCAGTATTTTTTAAATTATACATGCTATTATAGTCATAGCTAATATCTTCTGTAGCTGAATGCTTGTGCTGGCTAGTGTTTTGTCAACTTCATACAAGCTAGAGTTATTTGAGGTGAGGAAATGTCAATTGAGAGAATGCCCCTTGCCAGATTGGCCTGAAGCATTTTCTTGATTATTGATTGGGCCCAGCTCACTAGAGATGGTGCCACTTCTGGGCAGGTGGTCCTGGATGGTATTAAGAAAGCAGGTTGAGTAAGCCAGTTGGCCTCAATGCTCATCGGTTTCTGCTTAGGTTCCTGACCTGAGTTTCCATCCAGAAACACACACAGACAAAGATCCTCACTCTCCCACCCCCCAGTGATAAAAGATGAAGGAAACCCTTTCCTTCCCAAGTCATCTTTGGTCATGGTGTGTTATCATAGCAGTAGAAAAAACCAAAACCCAAAGTAAGATAAGGTCATAAAGATTTGGTCCTGTTTTTGTCTTTGGAATTTTATAGTTTTTATTTTTGGCATTTAGGTATTTGATCCATTTATTATGACCTAACTTAATTCTGTAGAAATCTTAATTGTACAGTTTATTAAAAAGATTGTTGTTCTCTCTTCTGTTGTGTGGACTTTTTTTTTTTTAATTGAAAATTAACTGACTATACCTAGGCAGTGGTAGCACAACACCTTTAATCCCAGCACCCAGGAGGCAGAGGCAGGTGCATCTCTGTGAGTTGGAGGCCAGCCTGCTCTACAAAGCTACACAGAGAATTCCTGTTTGGGGTGGGGGGAGGAGCCAACCAAACAAAAACAAAACAAAGAAAGAAAAGAAAAAGAGAATGAGCTATTTATATAAGGTTTTGTTTTTCCTTAACTCTTGTTTTTTCCTCTCAGAAGTTTGAATCTTTTGACTTTAGCGCTTGTGTTTGAAGGAGTCCTTTTTTTTTTTTTTTTTTTTTTTTTGGTATAAACTTTAGGATCTTTTTTAACAATTTGTATAACAAGCCAGCCAGGATTTTGATTGTAATTGCATAGAATGTGTATATTAATGGCAAGAATATTGTCAGTTCTGATAGCATTTAATCTTATAATCCATGGACAGGGACTTGGTTTTTCAAATATTAGTGGTGCTGCTTGGTTCTACATTAGGTTTAAGTTGTCCTTATGGGCCCACTAGCTTCAAGATTGAGAAATTTGTTTTGGTGTGTATATGATTATTTGAGTATGTGTAGTTTGACCTCTCAGTAGTTTCCTTGAGTTTTGATTGCAACCATTGCTTAATTTCTGACTATTTTTTTTTTAACCTGTTTAGTCATAAAATAACATGAAATTTCTGGGCCAGTGAGATGGCTTCACAAGTAAAAGAACTTGTTGCCAAGCCTGATGATCTATCTGACTTTAATCCCTGAGACCCATGGTGGGATGTAGCACAAATTCTCTTTAGTCTTAATAATTAAAAACTTGGAGTCACATATTAATGTGGGGGTGGGGCAGGGGAGCTGAAAGATCAGAGAACCAGAACAGCCAGCCACTGGCTCTTACCTCTCTCTACCTGAGACTGAAAGGGCCATCTTGCTTCCACGAATCCTCAGACTGAATGCTTGTCAGACTCACTGCTGATTCAGACTGTATTGCTCCTCAGACTGCTCTGAGCTCCTGTTTTATATTCCTCTGTCTGTCCAGCCATATCCCTTCCTGTATCCACCTCCTTAGTGCTGGGGTTAAAGGTGTGTCACTCCAAGTGCTGGCATCAACTTTATATAAACAGTTTCTCTTTTAGACTGGATCAATTTCATATAGCCCACGGTGGTCTTGAACTAACAGAGATCTGTCTGCTTCTTGTGTCCCGAGTGCTGAGATTAAAGGTGTGTAGCACCACTGCCTGGCCTCTGTAGCTAACTAGTGTGGCTAGCTTTGTACTCTGATCTTTTGGCAGGTTTTGTTAGATCATAAACAAAATGTCCCCACAGTGAAAGGTGAATATTGACTCCTGAAAGTTGTTTTTGACTGTATATACTATGGCTCATACACTCAAACACATCAAACACCACACACACCACACACACACACACACACACACGAAAAGAAATTTCTAACTGTACATCTTCAGTTTGAAAAAAAATAGATATTTACTTGTTTTTCAAAACAGTATATTCATTGCCCTTCAATCGTTCAAATGGAGCTCTATGAACAATGCTTAATTTTAAAAACACATTATTGTGTTAGGAGTGCTATTGAATATGAAAAATACATAAAACCTTTTAGACTTATTTTTTATTGTGTGTGTGTAAGAGAGTGAGTGCTTTTCTTACATGTATGTCTATGCATCACATGTGTACCTGGTGCCCACAGAGGTCAGGTCATGGGATCCCCTGGAACTGGTGTTACAGTTGTGAGCTGTGGATCTTGTGTAAAACAAGTGCTATTAACTACTGAGCCATCTTTCCAGCCCTGAAAATACTTAATAATTAAATCTCTGAAACATTATGTTTTAGAAACTCTATAAAGTTTATAAATTCAGGTTTAACCGAACCCTGCACTAAATTGAAGATATGCTTAACTTTTTGCTGCTGTAGCTTTTGTATTTTGCATGCTCCCCTCCCCCGAATTTAAGTGCATTCATTAGAGGAAAATGTGGGCTTTCAAATTTAAACATGTGTCTTTACTTCAGAGGCCTTTTTTTCTGTAGAAGACATGATAATTTTAGTGAAATTTGTGTCTATTGTATCAGAGTATTTTAAAGGTATTAATATAAAGAAGGAATTGTTTTCTCTAGGTATAGTAACTTTTTGTATTAATATGTAATCATGAGATTTTTATAGATGTAAAGGAATCTCAGGTGGTGGTGATATTTGTTATTTTTTTTTTTTAATTCTGGGGTCTTATATAGACTAACCTCTTTACATAGCTAACGACGATACTTGAGTTCCCGAGTCTCCAAATGTTAGGATTACAGGCGTATCCTCCTATGACTGATGTGATCTTGATATTCTTAAGAACATGATGGAATGTTTCAGGCATTGTGTTTATACACAGTGATGCATCACTGGGGAAATGTGGTATCTTTGTGTTTAATACCCAAACTGACATTTTGACCTCTTTCTGTGTTAGAGACAGACTCCCTGCATGGTCCAGGCTGGCTGCAAATTCTGTAGTGTTGAGGTCATAGTTGTGCAGAACCATGGCTGGGTTTTGAGTGGTTTGAGTTTATTTAACCAATATATACTATTAATAACAATGAAACTGTTTTCATCACTTAGATAGGTAGTAAACTTGATTCTGGTAGAGATATGCTAAAAGATGCCTGTTTCCAGAACATAGGCATTGATTTCTTGACAGAAATTGCCAAAACAAAACACTAATCAACCAACCAACCAAAAACCTACCTAGGGCAGGGCAGATGGCTCAGCAGTTAAGAGCATTGACTGTTCTTCCAGAGGTCCCGGGAACTATATATTACAATCTATAGTGAGATCTGGTGCCCTCTTTGGGTGTGCATACACTGTGTACATAATATAGGCAGAACACTATGTACATAATAATCTTAAAAAAAAATAAACACAATGTATTGCTGGTTCAAAGCTTGCTTATCATGATTGCCTTTGTGATTTGCTTGCTAGGTTTTACACACGCTGGAAAGACTGGGAATCATGGTATTCCCAGAGCTTCGGTTTACATTTTTCACTGAGGGAAGAACAATGGCAAGAAGACTGGGCATTTATACTCTCACTTGCTAGTCAGGTAAGGTTGTATCAAGGTTTTTTTCCTTTCTTTTTTAAAAGAATCCACATGTCCTTAAATTCTTTGGTCTTGTTTGACTAGACTATGCTGAAAACAATGTGAATGAGAAGGAAAGATGCTTTCCTTGCTGGTAGTCTATTTGGGTTCTAGGTATTGACTATTAGATTATCACGGCAGAACTCTGCCACTTAATTAAGGGTAAATCTCTTCTGTTTGTTTGGATATGAATGATACTTATGTGTAAACAAGGGATATTTTATTATATTTCTGTTGGACATTGCCACTTTGGGAGTCAGTTTCTCTGCCAAGGCTTTCTTCTTGGAAATGGAGTGAGATAGTATTGTTTTTACCCAGCAGTTTTCCAGGACTGGTAATGAATGTTTTTAAGAGAAATTGTCTTTTCTTTTTGTGTGTGTGTACAGCCCGGAGCAAGTTTGGAACAGACACACATTTTTGTACTCGCACATATTCTTAGACGACCAATTATAGTTTATGGAGTAAAATATTATAAGAGTTTCCGGGGAGAAACTTTAGGATATACTCGGTTTCAAGGTAAGCCATTTCTCAAGAGCCCTCTAGCAGTCTTGTTTACTATGATTATATAGTAGCTTCAGAGCACTCATGGGGGAAAGGGTCAGAGGAGCCGTTGGGTTTAGGAAGTAGAACAGTGGGGTGGGGTTGGGTGGTTGATAAGCACTTGTTCCTTGTGCTCTTGTTATTTATTTTTTTCTAGGAGTTTATCTGCCTTTGTTGTGGGAACAGAGTTTTTGTTGGAAAAGTCCAATTGCTCTGGGCTATACACGGGGCCATTTCTCTGCTTTGGTTGCCATGGAGAATGATGGGTATGGCAACCGAGGTGCTGGTGCTAATCTGAACACTGATGATGATGTCACCATCACATTTTTGCCTCTGGTTGACAGTGAAAGGAAGCTCCTTCATGTGCACTTCCTTTCTGCTCAGGAGGTAAGTAGCATGTTGTCCCTTGTGATTCCAGAAACCAACCTTCTGTGCCTTCTAGAAGTTATGGCATCTTTAGTGCTTTATACTTGTGAGTAGTGATTGGAGTGGTGTTGTGCCCCCCTCCCCCACACCACCAGTCAGAGACTGAAACTGATATTCTCAAAATTGAAAAGGCAGCAGGCTAGTTATTGGACTTGTTGCTTAAAGAGAGTTAAAAGAGGAGTATTATGGTGTTAGTCTTGGATTTCTAATAATTTTTAAAATTTTATTTTTTGGTTGAGGCAGTGTTCCTGTGTACCCCTAGCTTTTAAGTCATGTAGACCAGGCTGGCTTTGAACTTCAGAGATCTGCCTGCCTGTCTGCCCAGTGCCGGGATTAAAGGAGTGCACCATCATGTATAGATAAAGGGTGTGGGTATGGCTCTTAGGCTTTATAGAACTTTGTCCTCTGTCCTCTGAGTGAGTTGTCAAGTTCTGAGTCTTTGGTTTAGTCCAGAAACATGGGGTCAAGGGAGAGGCAGCAGTATAAACCAGGCAGTGAGGATATAACAGAAGAACCAGAAAGCCCACTTTCTAGAAAATTATTTGCTGTTTATTATATATTCTAGTAATGACCACAAAATACACAGTACCAAAGAAAATAATCCATAGACCATGACTTGTACAATTCTAGCCCAAACGTAACTTAACCAGGAAACTTACCTTGTCATGTCTGTAGTCATGCCTTTCTTGGTACTTTCTGTAAAGTTCATGTCAAGTATATTACCTTGTAGGATGTCCTTTCTCTCTAACCCCAGTTTTTAGGAGGCTATTTCTTCATATAATTGTAACCATAAAAACCTGGCTTTTTAATGATACAACTGACAGAAGGTTGAAGTCAGCTGAAACAGTTGCTTGCTTTCACTTTTTCATTATCATAGCAGCAGCTTCGGGTTGTTCCTACCAAGTGTCTGACCTGCTGTTGTGTTGCTTTGCCTTCTCTTCATGTTCCTCTAAAAAAAAAGCTAGGTAATGAGGAGCAGCAAGAGAAACTACTCAGAGAGTGGCTGGACTGCTGTGTGACAGAAGGGGGAGTTCTAGTGGCTATGCAGAAAAGCTCACGGCGGAGAAACCACCCCTTGGTCACACAAATGGTAGAAAAATGGCTTGACCGCTACAGACAGATCCGGCCTTGTACATCTCTGTCTGATGGAGAGGAAGATGAGGATGAGGAGGATGAATGAAGACAAATGCACTTAAGGAACAAAAAGACCAAGGCATCAGATCTGAGATGACCCCAAAATTAGTGTGGTAGTTTCAGCAGAATATACAGCATGGAGTGAGCCACACCCTCCCTGCAGGATCTGCTCCCAAGTATCTTTCTGCTCCACACCCATTGGAGATAACGAGTGCGTCTGCATGAGGAGATGGAGAACTTTGGTTGAACTAGTTTGTAAAAAAGAAAAAACAAACAAACAAACAAAAAAAAAAAAACCCACCAAACCCTAATTTTATTGACAGAACTTTTTTCTTTCAAATTGTAAATCTGTCTATGAATGTATCGCATGTGGTTGTGTAAGAAGTTGTGTACTAGGAAAAGTGCACCAGCATCTTCATGTTACTGAGAACATATTCCCAGCATGGGCACTCATAAAAAGCACATGGCAGATAACCTTATTGAGATACTCTCATTAGAACCTGACATCCTGCTCCCACCATAAAAGACCCATTTTCCATTGTTTCAGAGATTTGGAAACTTTGTACAAATTACCCACGGCAAGATAAAAAATAAACAAGCCTTTATTTTATTAATAATTTAGTTCCTCTTGTGCCCAGTAAAATAAAAATCAAATCCTTAGGAACAAACTGCAAGAAAAACTAGCATTTTTTTTTTTTTTTTTTTTTTTTTTTTTGGGAGTGATCTTTACATAGAAATTGTCCTTTTTTTGGAAGAGGGTTTTGTTCTCTGTTTCAAGTTTCCTGACTTGCCCCTTTCTTTATTTAGATATTTATTTGTTTGGAAGAGTGCCCAGTAAAAGGGGTTCTTACTTGGTTTTGGGCAGGTGCGTTTTTGCACTTAAGTCCCTGGATGGATGGATGGCCCATTTGTCACAGGGTGGATTGTGAGACTGACTGTTCAGCTCCCAGGTGGCCATATAGAGGGTTTTCAGATTCTTCCTGTCTTTGTCACCTCTGCTCTAAAGCAGATGCTGTATTAAGGGCATGCCTTTGCTTAGGCTGATTGGGAATACAGTTCAGTACAGAATAAAGATTTTCAAATGCAGTAAGTATGATCGATTTCTCTTGTGTAGTCTGAGAATTTTTGCATGTTGGTTAGTTGTAGCCATTATTTAAAGTTAATTCTATAATCTTAGAAAAATTTTATGGAGTTATTTGACCACTTCAGGAATATGTTAGTATTGTGTAAACATGTCTGACCTATCTCAGGAATATGACACATAGTTTCCTGCTCAGCACTTAAGAGTGACGTGGCAAGCAGTTGCTATGTAGCAAATATACACTTCCCTTTTCCTCCCCTTTAATGAAAAGGCTATGAAACCTTTAAATCTTGTTTTCTGATCAGATGATATTGAAGTGTGCACAACCTTCAGTTTACTGGAGTTCCAAAATAGAGAAAAGCACCTATGAGCTGTATGTCTTTAGTCCTTTCCCTTGTGAACACTTAGTAAAAAAGGTGTTCCCAAGATGAAAGGTCATTTCTGTTGCATGCTAAACCCTGGGAAAGTAGTTTTCACAGTAGGTCCCGCCATATAAATGATTTGTGGTATGAATAATGGTAAATGTTACTGTTCCAGTGGTTAATGTTTTCCTACAAATTGACTATCTGGTTTTCATTTTGACCAGTGAATGATAACCAAGTCTATAGAAAGGCTTCTATTCTAAGTACTTAGCATCCATACCATCTGTAATAAGTTGAGATTTTTTTCAGGGAGCAGAGACACCTCATCCAAATGAAGAAGCCAGAGAACAGTGGAAAACTGCTCTCTGGCTAAATCTGCATTGCACCCAAACCTTGTGGTGCAGTCAGGCTCAGGACTGAGCCTTGTTCTGTGTACTGTGGTTTCCTGAGTATCTTTTCCCAAGCTCCCCCCTGTATTTATTTATTTATGACTTATGACCGACCGGTGACTCTGACCACATATAATTTGATGGGTATCACACTCTTCCCTGTGGGAAAGAATTAGCGATGGTTCCATTTCTCAGGCTAAAGACAGAAATGGGGCTTTATGTAGTTTCTGTAGCAGACTGCCTGGCTGTGAAAGGCCAACACTTTTGGTAAATCAGTGCTATGTTAAGCTCTTGAACTAAAACCAACAGCCATAATTATTGTCCCAAAAAAGTGTATGCTGACCCTTGTCAAAGATTATACGTGGCTGGGTGACAGGTATAGGTATCTTTAGACTGACTCTGAAAAGTAATACTTTTATAACTGTGTGGACTCTGGTTCTTTTTCTAGGGTGAAACCAGTACTTTCTTTTTATTCTGATGTTGTTCTTTGGAGTCAGTTTATATAATCATTTCTAAAGGACTGTTTGAGCAATCATGATCTAATTAAACAAAACCTAGGCACACCATGGATTCAGATCTGACTTCTTCTGTTTCTGATCTTTAGGCCCACTGTGCCAGACATAATGACTATAAAGTAAAATGCTGCTGTATAGACAGTTGGGACCTCTTTTTCATTGGCCATGTTTTCCATGTTTTTGAGAAGACCTGTTATTGTCAAGGGAGTGTTCTTACTACCTTTGTGCTTTCCATGTGTGGTCATTTTATAGGGCAGTTAAGATGGGGCACTCTTGAAAAGAAGGCAGGCCAGGAAGTTGGGAAGGATAAGGAAAGATTTAGAGTATAAAACTTGGAATTGTGGGACTTTAAAGTGTTCAATGGTATTTTAAAAGGTAAGTAGAACTTTGAAGTTCTCTGTGGCCACAATGATAATTATTTTGTACCCCCCCCAAAAAAAGGGTGACAATTCTAAAAGTTGACCAGTTTCTAGAATTTACTTCACTCTAATGCACTGCCTTATCTAATTTGGACTGTGAGGTTAGACAGTGTCACCACAAGAGTTGGAAACAATGTGATGACATCTCAAGGGCTAACTAACTTTTATAGGTGAGATGTACTTAAATGTCAGGACTTAACAGAAATTTTAATTACTTTTATTGAAAACTGCACTGAATGCTAAATGTCCACCTTTACAACAAACAAATACAGTAACGGTAACTCACACTAAAACAAAACATACTTCTGATAGCCATTATTTTTCTGTTTGGGACAGTTTAAAGTTTTTTCTTTTTGTCACAAAAACAGGAATGTACCTATACAAAGGCTCAAAATAGGCCATCTTTAGAAACAAAAAGGCAATGATTCACAAAAGACTATGAATAGAACATATAACTAGCTGATACAAATCTAATAGGATTTGTTAAAATCAGTCACATCTAATAGCACATCTGAAGTGTTCTTGTATAAAATATCACGTGAAGAAAAGAATTTATCAATGTCTAAAAAAGTGGGTTTGTTCATAGACAATCTGACAAGTTACCATAAAAAGTGTTTCCTGAGACATAAGGAAATGCAACATTATTCTTCTTGAACCCTTCTCGTCCAAGACTTTCCACTCAATAAAATAGCTGAGGATCTGAAACTGAGAAAATATATTTGAGTACAAACAGCTTGTGAAACTTAATACTTTTTTCTTTTTGTTCTTTTCCTTTTTTTTTTTTTTTTTTGTTTTGTTTTTGCATCATCAGAGGGTTTTTTACCGAACTCACAACCAACTTTGCCTGCTCAGAGTTGTCACTTGTGTACTTCTTCAATCCTGTGCATGTAGATGTCTACACAGGCAAACATGTCCTCCCCATCTTGTCTTAATCTTCCTACCAGCAAAGGTGGCAACCAGCCCCTGGAGAGCAAAGGGACTAGTCTTGATGGGGATTTCCTTTCTCTCTCTTTTTATTAATATTTGGAGCTCTTGATGCAACATTCTAGAGCAAGTTGCTCAGGACCTGCTGTGCCCAAGGGACTGATAAAGGAAAGCTCTATTTATTCTTTGTGATTTGATGCACAGATGAAAAACTTAACACACAATAACAGAAGTTGGTCGTTAATAAGTCACGTCCTAGTCTTTCCACACTTCCAGAAGCAGACACCATCTTCAGGATTCTAGTTCTTGTAGCTTTAACACGGCAACATCAGTGATGTCCAGGATCAGTTTTAAAGACCATCAAATTCCTTTTCTTAGTTCATCTGTTTGCTACTGTCTCTTGGTCCCAAGTTTATCTGAATGATTACCTTGTAGCAATATCTGCTATTGCTCGTTGGGGTGCTCTCTATTGTCCCCATGTTTTGTGGGCTGGTTGGGGGAGGGAGCTTGGGAAGGATGTGCCACTGTGGGGAGGTTGTGAGTCACCGGGATGCCTCCTGGGATGATCCCTTCCATTGCTGCAGGAAGCCCTCCAGGAGCCACCCCGACAATGCCTGGGGGATACCTGAGGAGCACACAGAAACAAGGCCTTAAGTTCAGGAGAGCTACCAAATTCTCATAAAGGGTTGTTATCTTTTTCCCCAAAGCAAAGAAAAACTAGGTTTTTATATAGAACTGTGGAATGTAGCACACTGAAGTTTTAATTAAAAGCCATAGACAACAGGAAGGTTTTTGTATATACTAATTTGTGGAGGTTTTGTTTAAAGCACAACAAAAAACAATCTAAAAATATCCAAATACTCTGTACAGGTTAGACTTAAGCTTCCAGGAACTGAAAAACAGACATGTGGCTCATTAGCTACTGAAGAAACTGATATGATGGTTGCTCAAAGAGGAGGGCTGGTACAGTAGTAGGCTGTTGGTCTAGTATCTCTATATGAGGAAACAACACGAGGTACTGTGTATGAGGGTGAGCTGCCTACAGAGCATATGGGTCTATGGGTACAGTGTGACCCAGGGCATAAACTCAGACCAGTGCTTTGTAAATGAGGTAGCAAGGATGGTGTCTCACACTGGACACACCAGCACCTCTCCAGACCTTTGTTAAGTGCCTTCTAAGCTTTAACCCTTAGCAGTCCCATGAAATGTTTCAGAGGACCAAAAAGTCTTATTTGTTGAAGGAATTGAGAAGGCTCTTAAGGGTAAACACAAACATGCACAAGTGGCAAAAGTCCTTAAGATTGGCTCCAGGTTTGGTGGTTCATCAGAACTCAAGGCAGGGGGCATAGGAGTTTCCACTGATTGGAGGCTAACCTGCACTAGAGTGATACATACCATCTGACAACAAACAGCACCCTCAGATAAACAAAGGCCAGACTGAGTGTACTAGGAAGACTCATGTGCTCTATATGTATATACATAGCTTCTTCAGAGCTCTGTTACATATAAAACCAGGAACACGTGACAATGCCCTATCAGATTTCTAGCTGTCTTGGCTGGGAGTGGGAATATCACTCAACATTATAGTACATAGTACACTGGGCCCCAGATGGGAATGTTGTTAAGTGTTCACAAGCTGGGCTGTGGCTTTCCCCACTATCTATGCTCAGTGGAATTAATTTCCCTAGAGCCTAGCAATAATGGTAAAAGGGGATCATGGGAACCTCCAGAAATGACACTATTGCTTCCTTTAAGTGTATCTCTTCCTATTAGGTTTTCCTTGGACAGAAGAGTTGAACATGGAATTATTAATATATTCCCCAAGACTTGGTCTCATTATTTAAGAGGGGGTTTTAGCAGGGGTTATATCACCTTAAAACTCCAGAAAAGAACTATGGAGCCCTTCCCCTGCATGGAATATGAGTGGGCTTTTCTTGCCTCCTCTTGTCCTTAGGGATAAGATGCTACCAGGTCCAGAAAACTTCACTTCTCCTTCTCACCTGTATGTGGCACCATTGAGCTCAGGATGAATTGCTTGCTGGTCGATGACTGACCAAGGAGCTGAAGTAACGAAGAATTCTTTGTTGACACAGTTTCGCAAGCTTTCTGGGATGCGACCTAGAGTGGGAGGGTTATGATTAATCATGTGCATATTACAAGCATGTGCTTAGTGTGTGTGCGCCATGGCACATGCCTGGCAGTAAGAGGACAATTCTGTGAGGGTTCCTGTGATTGAACTCAGGTTTGGAAGATTGTTCCTTTAAGCAGCTTGAGCCATACTTGCATTTTTAAGGCCACAGGATGTTCCTATTCTATTTCGCGGCTTTGGCTTAAGCCACTAAGACAAGGGCCTTCTTCTGTCTTTGGCTACCCTCTGTAATAGGGAAGCTGGATTC